CAGAGCCGAGACCGAGCGGACCAGAGCCGAGATGGCCCAAAGGCAGCTGGCGGAGGCTCGAGCTCCAATACGTCAGTTCTCATAGCACAGGGCTTCCTACACCCAGCATGTAAGATGTTTCATTTATCTCTTTCAAGATAGATCTTGACAACGCAAAGCCTGAAGCAAATCCGAAAACCAGCGCAGGTGCAGCGCACAGGCCTAGAGAAAGAGCTGCTGGCGCTCCGTGGTGAACTTACTGCTCGCCGAATGCTGGAACGGTTTGCGTTTACAGTCAGGAGGGAGGAAAGCATCCCGTATCAGAATTCGACGACGGCAGTGTTGGCTGACCTGTTGCATTGCAGGGTCAGTCCCACCGCGCAAGCGATGGTCAACATAGTTTCCGAGTGCTCAGGGCAGGATCCTTTGTACAGCGGTCGTTATCTCGCCGATTTGTATCGGCAACTCTCGGGCCATGTCCATCATCAGTCATGGTGCGGTCCCGGAATTTTGATTTCCCCGCGTTTGGATGCCGCGCAGAAATGCGTGCTAAGGCGTTATGCACAAGACTTTGAAGATTTTGAGGTCAACATAGATACCTTGGAGGAGGAGCAGGAGGCGGCAGAGGAGGAGGCAGAGGAGGAGGATGATCAGAATGACGAGGCAAATGCCCAGACATAGCAACGTGGAGCGCATGCGAGACATCTGAGAGGAAGAGCAGAAAAGCTTGCCTCAGGCTTGTTTCGGGTGTGATGCATGAAATAGCCTCGCTGATTATGAAGTATGATGCATATTGGTGCGGTGAAGGACTTTGTTAAGCGAGGTTGATATAGTCGATGTACGTGGGGCTGTATTTCAGATGTACGCATTTTCATTGCTGCACCTGAGTGCTTGGTAGGTTGGTAGGCGCTTTTGGCTTAGTTGCATTGTAGTGCAAGGTGTTCTATTTGGATATTGGTAGGAAAATGATGTTTCAGCGTTGCGTTAATGCACCATGTGAGTGGCTATAGGCGTTTGTTTTTTCTATTAGGGTCTTACCCCACACCTCATATTAGGAAATTGGTTATAGAATGGTTGAGGGTAGGATTTGTTTAGGCGCTTTGGGTTTTGGTTGTGCTTTGGGTTTTGGCGAGGTTGTTGTTTTGCTTGTGATATGGGTTTTGGCGAGGTTGATTTGGCAGGCGGGTTGAGAAATGGGGTAAAAGTGTAGGGGGGGTATAGGATGTGAGGTGTGGGGTATGCCTATGCTTGCTGTAACAGCCTGCGTGCTGCCGGTTGGAGCGGCGGGTCAGCCTGAAAACGATCCTCGACCTCGGTCCGAGCGCTTGGGGGCTCCAACCGTCGCACTCTGCAGAGCACGGCTTCAGGACGCGATTGAGCTCGGGGCTGTGAGCAGCAGTCGGGAAAGCGAGCTGGATCACCTTCTCCGTTGACGGAGTCGACCTGTCAGCTCGCCTTCTCATCGCCAAGTGCTGCAACCCGTCGGGCCTCGTCACCCTGCAAGATCCGGTTCTCCGGCATTGCCTCCGACAAAACGAATTCACCTCACAGGTCGGTCCCGGTCCGCCCTGCCTTGTTGTGCCTGTCAACCAAGCTGTCCGGCACCACCTCAACTGGCACAGCTCGCCTCTAACAGCAAGACTCTCCTACAGCCGCCTTTTTGCTTTGGTTGCAGGGTTTTCGGAATGCAGTGGCCCAGTGCAAGAAGTCTCAGCACAGCCTCAACTTCCCAACAAGCAAGCCAAGCATCAAGCAAATCCATGCACCCAGAAATAAGCGACAACACAACCTGGAGTTTTGCTATTACTTTCTTGACTAGCGTCGACCTGACTCACATGCACTCTTACTCAATTTCGTGCTTCCGGCGATCAACCTCCCATGTAATTTCCTGGAACTTCCTTGGATACAATGCTTTTCCGTTCTGTCTTGCTCCAAGGTCCAAGGGTATGTCTGCGGCCGGCCTCCGACACCACGGTGCGCGTGGGATCGCGCGTACACCTCGACGCACTCTGTCTCACTGAGGTCGGGGAGAGAAGGGGCTCAGAGGCTGTAGTTCTGCTGTAGCCCAACCCTAAACTCTGAAGACCTTCAAGGTCCCTAAAGACTAAACGGCGCGCCAAACCCTCAACACCCCTGAACACCAAACCGAGCAGACCAGGTTCGGAAGCTTTCGCAGCCCAGCCATGGCCAGAGCGGCTCTGGGCCAGCGACGGTCGCAAGCGCAGGCCCAAGCGATCTTCGCCGGTCCTGGAGATCACGACCTGGGCGCCATGTCTCGATGCCATTAAAACCAACCGAGCAGCTCGGAGAGAAAAAAAAAGAAAAGAGGCCTCGAAGCGGCTCCTCCCAGGCTCGGAGGGCAGGGCCTGCGCTTCGGAAAAGGCCGCGAAACCGCCCAGCCCGGCTCCAGCTCGGCTCTCCTCTGGCTCTGGGGCAGCACCCTTGTGCCATCTGAGAAAGGTCAACCTCGGAGACCCAAAACACCCAGCGACCGGGGTTTTGATGGCGGGGTCCGTCTTTTTCCCGAAGTGAGCTGAGCAGAAAGCCTGACTTCCTGAGCGCCGCGGAGCCTCCGGAGAATCTGCTTCGGCTCCACCTTCAAACAAACTCGGAGCTCGGATAACTCTTCCTAATTGAGAGCGGTGGATAGGCGCGGAGATTTCGCAAGGCTCGCTCTGGGGCTCTGCAGCGGCTGAGAATGCTCCATAGCTCGGCACCTCCGGCTCACAGGCGACAAGCAGGTCTCCAGGTTCCACACACCACCTCAAAGTGTCGCGAGGGGACGGGTCCAGAGAGCAAAGTATGTCTCCCTTGTCGCTCAGCTGCCCGCTGCGAATCTTGGCTGCTGTTCCACTGTCCGAGCGCGGCCTCCTCAGCCTGTGGGAGCTCCAAAAAGCGTCCGAGTCGAAGCGCCCCGCGAGAACTCTGAGAGAGGCGAGGCGCGACACGCTGCACTCTGAGGACGCCTGCACTTCGGGGCCTCCAGCTGCGGGGCACACAACGCAAAGGCACCACCAGAGTGCGCGTGAAAAAGCAAGGGAGCAGGCCCGGCTGGGGTGGTCATCATGACTTCAGACAACTCCAGACCCCAACCTAAGAAGCAACAGGGCACCAGAGAAAAAAAGCAGAAGGCGCGCCGGAGCGACCGCACCTTGGTTCTCACTCCTCCTTATGTCGATCTCCCACACCTGGACTCCAGAAGATGCTGCACAGATGCTTGCAAGGTGAAAGATCTGAAAGGCTTTTGGCTCTTTTGGCTTTGAGCTGCCAGCCCCAGGAGCGGATTTCGCCGCCGGACGTGAGAATCGGAGCTCCTTAGAAGGCTTAGCGAAGCCTCGAGACAAGTCATGCAGAGATAAGCCTCAGCATGCCTCAGCCCAGAGCCAGATCATCCTGCCCTTGTTTTGCAAGATGATCCATCTGTCCACAGATGCGGTTCGATAGTCTTGCTCAAACGATACTTGGCTGGCGCACCATTGCGCCAGGTGAGGTGGTGCTGCCAACAGCAACCAACCGGTCACCACGGCGGACGTCCATTTCGGAGGAGCTGCGACTGCGAGCAGGGCCAGGGTTAATATGAGAATTACAAGTTCAATCTTGAGTGATTGGGGCTTTCCGCCCTGCCTCGCTAACCGTGCTTTGTTGTACTGTGCCACCAGACCACCGTCAGCAACCTACGAGATGCTGGGGCAGCATGTAGACGTCTCACACCGACCTCTAGCAAGCCTCCAGCACCTGCAGGCCTCCACCTCGGCGCGGCTTGGCACTTGTTGCGGAGGATGCTTCTTCTTACACTTGAGTTGCCAGCGGTCGCCCTGGAGGTGCAGGCCCAAGCGCCTGTTGAGACACAGACTGCTGGCCGACAACTGCCGACAAAGCTCCATCCCTATACGGATGCCCGGATGCCTTGATTCGTCTGGTCGTTCGATGCGGGCAGTGAACCTGCTCGGATTTTGCACATGTCGACGAATGCATTGGGCTAAGCGGGGAGCAAAGAATTTCGCGAGATGACAGCGAGCGGCTCGCAGTGCAGAAGACGCAGCTGATTCCGCAGGCGCTCCTCGCGGTGCACCGCTCCCACTCTACTGCCTCATGTCAACACACTCCAACTCAAGATCCTCAAAGGGACAAGGAAGCAGCCAGCGTGGGGCCTCGGATGAAAAGACGAAATTCATCAACATCTGAGAGGCAGATGTGGAACCACGACAACCTTTTCTTCTTGAAATCCCAAAGGGCGAACCCGCGGGAACTTGCTTCGATGTGTGGATCCCTGTTGACATTTACATCCACAGCCGCTTTAAGCTTTTCCTTGAACCCTCATACTTGCGCTGATCCCTGCTCCACACACGTCCAGCATCGTGGCAGTCGTTGCAACTTTGACATCCTGAGAGGGCGTCCCAGCCATGCAGGACTCGCGCAGGCCATGGCCGAAGAGCCTCCTTTCGAAGGGAGACTGAAACCCAAACAGACGGCACCTGGGTTCCTTTGCGACTGCTATCCTCGTCGATGTTGAGGTGCAGTGGTCTCACGTGACGGCCCCGCCGGCTGTCCGTGCTTTCACAACGCGGCTCCTTGACCTGCCAGGCAGCATGCTGATGCTGTGCTTTCCCTCCAGACTCCAGACTTCCTCCTGACTCCATGCACCTGAACTTCCGGCCGCTTGACAAGCTCAGCCAGCAACGGACGGAACCTGGTGTGAAACTGCGAATGCCGTAATTCCGTGGGTGCAAGGGTACGCTCAAGCCGAGCACTAGACACGATGGTGACGACAGGCTTTGCAAGCTCTGTGGCGAACCTCGGGTTCTTTCGAAACACCCCCGGTTCTGGATCGGACTTGGACTGGTCTTGGACGGGCTGCTCTTGGGACTTTCGGCGGCCGTTGACGGCCACAATGACGCAGCTGGGAAGCAGCGCGTCGGAGCTCGCCTGCCTGAGACAAATCACAGAATCATACTCCACAGCCTGTTGAGGTTCAAGGCCGCGGCTGGACATTCCATTGGTCAACCAGATGACCCGGGACGACCTGTGTCCATGCCATGCACTTCCTGGAAACTTTGCTATTGGCCTTCCTTTGTTCTCTCATCTCTTCGGCCTCCTTGACGACCATGGAGCTCGCACAGCCAGGTCCCAGAAGAATCCCGTGCCTCAGAGGCACGTGCTAGTAACTGCTAGTACGCCGGCTCCGGGTGTCGACGCCGTTGAGCCATTGACGCAGGAGGGCTTTCAAAGCAATGCCTTCGGAAAGCCGTCGAAAGGACACGACAGGACACGTCAGGACGTCGTCTCCACGGCTCAGCGCAGGACCCGATGCGAATGCCAAGTTTTTGTCCTTCGCTTTTCTGCAATGGCCCACAAGACACCTGCACTTCCGAAGCTGGCGGGACAAAAGCAGACAAAGGTCCACTGACGCAGCCTCCTTCGGCGAGGCTTGGATCAGCCCTGGTGGCATCAGCACCCCTCGAACGACGAGGAGACCTGAAGTCACACAAATCACGGCAACGGGAAAAAACTTCAAACGAGGGGCCGACTCAGTGACAGAAGGGAGCTGTCATGCAAGGTGTCCAGCATCTTGGAACCTGACTCCGCCGGCACGAAAACTCGAAGGCCAGACTTCGTGTTCAGGTCCGCGCCGACCACTGAACCGACGGACACGATGCGATCCCCCGGGCGAAGCACGGTCCCTGGACTTGCCTGGCAGGGGCCGAATATGGCAACAGAGACATGGCCAGAACTGTCTGGAAACTACGTGGCGTAATGTGGGGGCTCGACCTCGCTCGAGGAAGTTTCCAGGATCTCACCGGCAACCTCGGCTCGGAGGCTGGGACGAAAGTATCGAAGAGCCGGATGCCACAAAGCTGTGCGCCAACGCCTCCAGGCTGTCGCTCTCGTCGGGAGGGGCCACCAGCTCGCAGCCCCACCTCGAACGAGCCAAACCAAAACCCAAGCCCAAACCCAAGTCCAACACTCGCCGGAACTCTGCGTTGAATGCCTTTCGTTCTCACGGCGGGTCAGCTTCTGCTCAAAGAGGAAGGGAAGAACCGAAGCCTCCGCCGGCGACACATCGGCGCATCTGCAGCTCCCTCCGCTCCCCTCGAGCATCAGGCTCCACCAACGAGACGTCGGCGTATGCGGAGAGAGAGCCACTCCTTGCTGTTGCTGTTCAATGGAGCGGCACCAGGCAAGTTGCTTGCCGCCCTACCTCGCCAGACTTCAGCTCGTTCATCATGTCAGTGGCACCCCTCTTCTCGTTGACCTTAGCTTAAAGAGCGCATCAGGAGCAGCTGCTCGAAGGGCAGAATGCTGGGCCGCCGGCCGACTCGATGATGTCACTTTCGCGAAGCAAAGGCCTCCCGCGAGGCGAAGCTGGGGCGAAGCACAGCAGCTGACCGGCTCACGTTGTATCACATTGTCTGAGGCCGCCGCAGGTGCCACCAAACCATTCCGGCTGGTGAGATGCCAACCTCGTTACAACCTGCCCTCTCTTCAAGCACCTGCAACGTGCCAAGCGCTGCAGCATCCTGTGAGGGTCCGCACATGGCAAGCCTTCGAGTTGTGCTGATGAATGAGACCTTCATCCACGATGTTGCAGATTTGTAGCCTGAGCTGGGGGGGCTCTCTCTACCTCTCAGACATGGCCATGGAGCTCGGAGATGCACCTTTTTCCGTTGTCGACGGGCATGAGCTGGGCTCCCAGGCGCACGTCCTGGTCCTGCAAACCCCGACCAATCCGTGCCCTCCATCCTCTCTTTCTGATGTGCCAGCGCCTTGGCGATCTTCACCTCGAAGGACCGCTCCATGCTCTGAAGACTCTGATTCACCTGCGGGCTCTGGCACGGCCAGCTGCCTTTACCGGTGTGCTGGCAGGGCGGGCTTTCATGGACTTTCGACACGCCGCCATGTCGGCTGAGATGCGGCTGATGACATGTCTTACGCCAAGCTTCCCCTCTGTTTGGACTGTCGGACGGCTATCATCTTGCACCAAAAATACATCGTCGATCCCGAAGTTGGAGAAACTCGAATCTCGGCTTCGAACTCGCCCCGTGAAGCTTTCAGGATCTAGATCTCGTGCACGCACTCGCACCTTTTCTTGGACACACATGGCTCTCTGGGTTTTTGGGTTGGAAGAATCTCGGCTTGCGACCAAGACCCGAGCACAGAAGTAAGCGAGAAACACGGCAGGCACACTAACCTCTCAGTTTTGTAAGTCAGACAAAATTGCCAGGAAGGCCCACCGAGAGCCGGTCCAAGGCCGCAATCAGGATGAAGCTCGCCAGCATCACGAACTGCCTAAGAGCACAGAGCAGCCCAGGCCTTTTGTGCGTTTCGGCCCTGGTGGGCTCCCTGAACCCACGGAGCAGCCTGAGCTGGGCTCCCCCACCTGCGCTTGTCGTAGGCAGGTCGTGATGCTCCGGACAAGGTCTCGTATGCCGCACTGAGCTTTGCCCGACTTTGCTTGTCAGCCTCGGAGACGGTTGAGATCAAGGCCGAAAGCTTCTCTCCGGGAGTGGTATCAGAAGCTCGGGTCAAGGCTTGCTGCTTTGAGCTGATCTTGTTAGTTGCCTCATGGACTTCGAGAGGTGTCTTCGTAACAGGGCCAGAAATTGGGCCCGCAACGCGCCGATAAGCCGTTGTGATCTCAGCTTGGCTGGCATCCGCGGCCACGCCTAGAGTGGAATAGTGATCCTGCAACGATTGGCAAGAACTTTTCCCTCCCAGCACGAACATGCAGCTTCCTCCAACAATTGCGTCTGGATAGATGTCGCCAGATCCTGATGGCAGCACGTGAAACAGCTGGGGCTAGCTACTCAGCTACATGCCGCTGAAGCAAGAAAGACACCAACATGCAGTCTCAGAGGGAGGTACTCGGAGCTGCATCACCTCATGCAGAACAGCTGTGACCACGACCTTGGAACAGTCGGGCTGGTGCGTCAGAATCAAGCGGGACTCGAACCGATGGACCAAGAACGGAGCGCACACAGCAAAGCCTGCAAGGGCCTCCGCTTTCAAAGCTACAAACACAGCCCATCCCAGCCCCCAGAGCGGCACCTGCCGCTCGAGTCGCGAGAGAAACCAAGCCATGAGCTCCACGTGGCTTGAGAAGTGACTAGAAGACTCCCGGCATATAAACAGAGAAGCTCCATGTCTTTGCCGTGCCTGCATGACAAGTCTTCAAAAGTTTTCTCGCCCAGGGCTCGGTTCGGCTGAACATTTTGAGCCAAGTCGTCCGGCCTTCAGGCCACACCCCGAGTCTTGACCAAAGCGCCCAGACATTCAACCTCATAGAGTCACCTTTGGACGGAGGAACGGATCTTTGACACAACAAGTCGTTTCTCATTGCACTCTGCATTCCTCGTCTTCGTCGATGGTTATGGCATCAGCCACTGGAGCTTTCCCTTCAGAAGAGCTTGCAGCTTGACCAGCTTTGCCAAAGACTTTGTTTGCAAAGCTTGGCTGCAGTCCTGCTTTGAAGCTTGACAGCCCCCACTTTGTTAAAACTCTTGCATCGCCCCAGTCATGACTGGCTCGCTGCCACGCCGCTTTCGGGCTGCGGAGTAGGACCGCCAATCGAGGCGACGGCTGGACCTGCCAGCGCAAGCGCAAGCGGTGCTGAGAGCGCCAGGTAGAAGGCGGGTAAAGGGGGGGCTTAGGGCGGGCCCGGCGCCTCCTGTTTCACGAAGGCCCGCAGCTGGTTCAGGGTGCAGGCGCGCAACATCGCCACCTCCAGGGAACCCTCGCCGCTCTCTTCTATCTGTTAGGATCTTCAGCAACGTAGAAAAAGGGAACCTGCCAACGGAGAGTTGTGGGGTCAAAGGGTGAATGGGCATTCTCTCTAGGCGTGCATTGCTCGGTTTTTCAGTGCGGGGACGACGGTGGGACTCCCGCCTGCCGCAGGCAGGCATCGAAGGAGAAGGTCCTTTCTTCAATGGGAAGCCAGTCGCGGCTCATCGCATCCCAAAGGTTGCGAGGAGACTCCTCCAACTGCCGAGCGATGCCTTCGCACTGCTCCCGGAACCTTAGAGCTGGTTGCACGAAGCTCCAAAGACGGTCGCATCACAACACGACTTCGAAAGCTCAGGACAGGTCTGGCGCTCAGTGACTGTGCAGATGATGTGAGTAAAGGCGTGGCTGAAGAACTTGTCAATGCTCTTCAAAGCAACTTCTGGTAGCCTGTCTGTCTGCACCACGAAGATCAGGGAGACGTGCGTTACGCGGATCCGCATGAAGCAAGAGACGACATAACCAAGTTGCTGCTGGGTTCGCAGCTCGTTGAAGAACAACGGCTTCCAAATGGACACCAAGACAGCTGCGAGGGCTTCATGCTCAGGCGTGGCGGCGGCAATATTACACAAGCATTCCACTGCACAGTTGTTGGTGTCCTGGGCGGCTTGTCCGTCGATCTTCAAGATAGTTCGCCCAAGGGATCTTGGTATCAAGAGCTCCGCCTTTGCAGGCACCTCAACGGGCCCCTGGCCTGGGTTAAACTTCCTCAGCTTTGCCATTGGGCCAATCACAGCCTCGAGCAGTTGCCTTGCATCTGCTTCGTTCACGTTGCCGATGATCAAGGCTTCCACCAGGCAAGCGCTGGGCCCGAAGAACTTATCTGGAAGAGACCCGGCGCTTTCTTGGTGCAGCTGCTGAGTCGCCTCGGCCAAAGAAAAAATACCTGCATCTACAATCTGCGCTCTATCACTCCCGACCTTCAGCAAATCAGACGCGGATGGGCGCTGCAGCAGAAGGTCTTCAAGAGCTGCTAAGGCCTGGCGAGAGGCCAAACAAAAGAATCGCCGCGGCATGCCAAATGCCAATGGCCCTGCCTGGCTGTATGCCTGGCCACTCGATGCATTCTTGAAAATCCGCTCCTCTGTTGAGTTCGCGGGTTTACTTCTTCTAAGGCAAACGCCTGTGAATCAGCCGCGATCTGCTTTCAACCTTCTAAGGCGAACGGTAGAGTCATCTGTTCTACTGGCGACCAACGGCCTCAAGATTTGATGGGAGACGTAACATAAAAAAAACACAGCGGAGTGCAACACGGTCACAATAGGTCCTGCTGCATCTTCGCTTGCAAGAAACAGTCACGAGGGATCGCTCTCATGGCGACAAACAGTGAGCTGGCTGCTGCTCCGGCCAAAAGGTGCATCTTGTCTCGGAAGCCCAGGAACTGCAGCAAAAAGCAGTGGTCCACCACGTCGAGCTTGTACATCGCGCCAGCCATCCTAGCCTCAAACGCTTCTGCTCTGAAGGACTGTTCCACGCACTTGCAGAGAATGTGGGCCAAGGCAATGTTTTCAGGTGTGGAAAGCTCAAAGGAGCGAAAGCAAAACGACGCCGCAACCTTGGGCTGATGGTTGGCACTGGTGGGATGCAGCCATGCACGGCACCAGTCCTGCGGAACCTCCATCTCACGTGCAGCCGCAAGAGGTGGAGGGGATCGCAGCGCAAAGTCTGCCGGCAGGAAGCTGTTGCGATGTGGAAACCCGAGACCCGATTTCTCCACGATCGAGCGCCAAGACCCCGACTCGAGCTCCTGCCACCTGGCCTTCCAAGTCCCCTTTATGCTTTGAAACTTCATGAACTTCGCTTCGTACCAGGGCTCGCAAGAAGCGCAGATAGATTCAAGAGACTTGGATAGCAAAGAGAGACGAGCATTGTCGACCGTCATGAGGTTCAGAATGTCCATCGACGCGCTTGCATCCTGATCATACAGCAGGCTGTCAGCTGCCAATACCTCTTCAACTGGATAATAGTGCAGATTGCAGGCCAAGTCCTCGCCAGGCACACGGATGCCGAGCGACTCGAAAAAGAAGTTCGAAAACGAGTGAAATTTAGGAAAACCTTTTGTGGAACCAAAGGCTGAAGGAGACAAACTCGAAATCAACATGGCGGAGATTCGAGAAAAACATCGTGAATGATTCAGGAAACCAATGGACAGATCAAACTAAGACCCAAGATGTTGGTTTGCAAACCACAAAACTCCAAAAGCAAATGTCAGAAGATGTTGGCTGCTAATCCCCGAACCCCGAAAGGCTGTTGGTTGCAAAACCCCGAACATTCCCGAACCCTTAAGTGAAGAAGATCGTGATGAGAATACTCCAAACACCAAAGAGAAGACATTGGTTGGGAAACCCTAGGACGTAGCCTTCCATCATCCCAGAATGGGATGTTGGTTGGTTGGCAAACCCGAGAAACCCCCCAAAGCGAGATTTTGGTTGGCAGAACCCGAAACCCTAAAACAAAATATAGGTTTCCAAGCCCCAAAACCCTAAAAAGCGATGTTCCTTGGCAAACCCCAAACCCACTAAGGAGAACTGAGCTGCTGCTTGCCAAACCACATACTTTAAGACAAGATCGTGGTTGGCAAACTTCAAAACCAAACAGAAGAGGATACTGGTTTGCAAAAGGCCCTGAACCTCAACATGATGTGTTGCTTGGCAAAGCGCACATACCACTGCGGCTGTGCAGCAGCCACACCAACGAAAGAAGTAGGAGCAGCAGGAGGCAGCAGGAGCACGACTCGGCCTCGTTTTATGAATCGGCCCGGCGGAACTTCCGAATGCATTCTCCTGAATCATCCTGAATCCTCGCTGCACAGGAGCCTTCTAGTCTCCAGGCACTTCCCTTCTAACTTAAGACAACCAAAAATGGGACAAGCAGAGTCCTGTACAAGATTGTACGTAGCCGTATCAAACTGGAAGTTGTAGTTCAACTTCTGCAGATGAGTGTACTCCTTCAAGACCCATCCCTGGATGCCGAGCGAGCGGATCATTGAGATGAATGCAAACACAAGCTCGCCGACTTCCAAAACCGTCTGGTCATTGGTGTCTGTCAAATCCACTGACAACTCGAGCGTCGAGACCGCACCGTGATAGTCGTAGCATGCGATGGACAGGTGCTGTGCCAAGTTTCTTGCTTTCAACGCTGCTAAAAGGCTGCCTGGCCCTTCCTGGCCCAGCAAGTACGTCGCATAGGCACTGGGCTTGGACCTCCAGCGACTAATCTGCCATGGCAAACTCCAAGAGAGCTTCAGCTGCTGCAGGTCCTTCAGTGGGGAGACGAAGACCTGGCCACCTTTCAGCTTTTGAAGCGCGACCACAAAAAACTGCGGTCCAAATGGATCTAGAGAGAGAACCTGGCAACTTAGTGAACCGGCCATTCTGAAGAACCCGAGGCACAAAAGTCTTCGGATAGAAACGCAGGCTCGCGGCTTACCTGATCGCCGATCAGCGTAGAGCGCTCCGTCCGACCCTGAGGCTCTGAAGGCACGGAAGTGAAGCACGCTCGCACCAAAGCTTCAAGCTTCTCCGTGGGCTGCGGGCCCACGACTGCCAAAGTCATGCGGCTGGCTTTATATGTTGATTCGTGAAACTTTTCCATGGCTTCATGTAGGTCACACTTTGCAGCTGCCGCTCCATGCAATAAGGACTTGCTGCAGCCTGATGCCCAGTGATACGGATGCCGAGGATTTGCATCTTGCAGCAAGACTGCCCACTGCCGGCGAAAGTCACTTTGAGCATTCATGCTGTGTTCCGAATCTATGGCCTGCAGCTCCTGATGCTGAAGGGATCGACAAAATTGTGGAGAAACGAAGAAACGGCAAAAGAGGCGCAGTGCAGAGTCCAGCTTGTCAGATTGAATCTCGAAGGCAAAGCAAGTTTGCAGCATCGTCGTGACTGCGTTGTGTTGACCAGCATGTGCTTTGATGTGCTCAGAAAAAGTGGTACCCCAGGGTTGCAAAGTTCCGTGCAACACCATGTGCTCGCAGAGGTGTGCCAAGCCTGAGACAAAAAGAAAATCTCTCTGGAAGCCCCTTGCTACATTATATAATATAATATAATATTATATTATATTATATTATATTGTATTGTATTGTATTATATAATATAATATAAT